TTTTTTTTTTTTTTTTTTTTTTTTTTTTTTTTACATGTTTACGTTTCATTGGAACGAAATTGAAAAATCGCTCCATCCCCCACAAAAATTGTGCCTTCCGAGAATGCACAGGGAGTTAAAAAAAATTCCTTACTCGTGGCGAAATCGTAGTTATATGCATTTGGTCTCTTTTGCTGGCTATTCGAGATTTTCCGCTAACAACCTCACACTCCAGGAGCAGGTGGAGTTAGATATCTCCAGGTGGAGTTAGTTAACTCCACACTACGAACTCCCGGACATTCCAGACGCAAACGCGACATCCCCATTGCGTTAGGACTTTTGAAACATCCATTGAAAACAAAATTAGAATTTTTTTACAATTCAGAATCCCATGAGCTACTTGTGGACAAAGATTCGGGTTTCTACAGCATCTTGAACGTGGTTAGAGTCGGCGTCAGTCACATTTGTTTCCACTGGAAGCTAACGAGGGGCGGGAAAAAAGTATGCTGAACACTATAGCACAATACACATTTCAATGAAATCTTGGCCGTTTGAGATAAAAAAAATGAAAAATGATGAAAAATAGAAAGTAGACTCGAATGAGAACCTCCCTGGAGGAATTCCCCCCCCCCCTTTGCGACCGATCCTGGGATTGGAACCGGGGGGGGGGGGGGGGGGGGGGGGGGGGGGGGGTCACCCCCGCCGATTACCCCAGAGGCTGAAATCAATGAAAGTGAAGGAAGTCGCGGCGGGAAACTCACCGAAGCCATCACCAAAGCCGGAACGGTGCAATTCCTCAACCGACTCACGCTTAGAGCCTTCCTGGAGGTGTCTGTGTTCGCCGGGTAAGCTTTTGGAGGTCGGGAGATTATTGGCGGTTAAGGCGCGCATGCGCACACCGCGCGCGCGCGATCTCCATCCTTCTCCCTGCCGACCTCCATGTTCCCATTGTCATTGTCTGATATTCTATATAACTTTTTTTATTTTATTTTTTTTTATTTTTGCTGAAAGTGAGAAGTAGATGCGGCAAGGAAATTTCTAAAATGAATGCGTTTTGTGTTCGTGGGATCTCTTCTGCCGTTCAGAGGAAGATTCTCCTCGTCCCACATGTATAAGGGACATTACGAATGACAAAATGGGGGAGAAAAAAAATTCCAGCTCCAAAAATAAAATTCTTTGAAAAGCCCTCAACCACATAATTATCCTTGATAATCAGAGAATTCAGGATTGTCGGAGGATTCAAACTCACGTTCGGCAGCCCCAAAAAATGAGACTAGCGAAGGAGGGACGAAACTTCTGCGATCGTCCTAATTTTTCTCTCATCCACGAACAAAATCGTATTCCATTCGATTCGAAAGTGTATTAAATTTGAAATAATCAAGAGAGCGACCGGGCAACCCTGCAAGTATGGCGCCGCCCATGGCGAGATGTATGTCATAGTGAGACATGGTGGTTGGGGTGCTTTGTCTCTCTTGCGATGCGCGGGGGTGGGCGTGTGCCGGATTTCTTGGTTTGGGAGGGAAACGGAGAGGGTCAGCGTTGCTGTGTGTCTTTTTTTCCCATTGTTGAGTCTCTGGTTTAGCTGAGAGTCTTAGTCTAGGCTTGGGTTTTTATTATCTGGTTTGGTTTTGCTTGTGTATAGGCTAGGCCTATTTTCGCGTAGTGTGTACTCTTATGATTTGGATCATTTATTTAAGAGGGCAGGCGTAAGTTCATACGAAAGAGAGTTATGATAGGACAAACTTTGGAATTCTCGAATTTCTTGGGCATGCAGCGGCACATAACCCCGAGGAATTTGTTTTTAGAGTGGCTGGGTCCTTGTATCGCCGTTACATGGAAAGGTTCCAAGCGCTGCATTTCGTCCATGAGTGTAAAATGTGACGTTGTCCTACTTGGCTCCACTCATTAATCCTTTTTGCTCTCATCAGATTCTTTTGGCTGTCTCAAGCAGTTGTGAGTTGAGGCCTAGGTCTTTCACTTATTCACCTTCAGTTATATTCAGCCATTTCCAGATATTACTCTGATGCAGCATGGGGTTGTGATGGAAATTACTGCTGAAGTCTTCCGACTATTGATTGATATCTGATTATGCCGACGTTATTGTGCTTCAAGAAACCAAATTGAAGGACGACACAAACCCAAGACTAAAAATCCCGGGTTTCTGCCTCGTGCATATGAAGGGAGACGACCGTTACGGGGTGGCTACCTATACAACGGCCGACTTGCAACAGTCGCGTCACGCCGCCCGGACCGCGCAACACACTTCTCATCTTGCGTGGACATTGCGGGCCTATTGATCCACAATGTCTACAAACCGCCGGGCTGCGTCTGGCCTCTTCCTGCTCTACCTCCCACCCCTCATCCCTCCATATTTATCGGTGACTTTAAACATCCCAGCAAACCCTTCGGACCAACGCTGTATCAATGTTACGTATATTTATTCAACGCGGATTTAACGTTTCTCGTCTAAAATCGTTCGCTATGAATCGATTACATAGGAAATTGATATTACATAGAAAAAAGCGGATCGGCACCGATAAGCCCAAAATTCAGATGGAACGATTAAAACATGCACTGGTCCGAGGATCGAAAAAGGCATAGGACCCTCCCCGCAGGACCCTCCCCCCAGGACTCTCCCCCCAGGACCCTCCCCCCAGGACCCTCCTCCAAGGACCCTCCTCCCAGGACCCTCCCCGCGATTACCTCCGTCTCGTTGCAGTCCGCCGAGCGACCCTCCACCTCTTGCACCTCTCGGCAGTTCGCGGGCGTGAGGCCCAGGCAGTGCGTGGAGGCGAGGGAGAGCCAGATCGCGATCCACGCCGCGGTTCGCTCCATCTGGAATTGAAAATTTTATTTATTTATATTTATTATTATTACTATTTTATTATTATTTTTTTTTTCGTCCAAGCATTCTCCCCCTGTCACGTTCGATTTTTTTTTTGTGCGTGTCGCGGGATCCGTGCTCGCGCATTTCGACGGTTTCGAGCTGCGTCCTTTTTCTCGCCGCGATTTATTCCGCGCTTTCCGGCGACCGTGCCGCCGCAATTCCTCTGGGCGCGTTTTCGATCGGGTTCCCACATTAATTTAATATCTTCACGGACGGCCCAAGGTTACACGGCGTGAATTGAACTTTTTTTTTGGGTTTCCTCCCAAAATTTCCTCTCGAGAATTTTCATGCGATGCCTTTCATGTGAAACCTCTGAAACAGTTTTCCTCAAGAGAAAAAAAAAAAATTTACATTTTGCCATTTCCCATGGTTTCCCCCGATTCCCGCACGACGAACACATTCGCGAAATTTCGCAGCTTCCGTTTGCTGTTGCGAAGAATAAACAGACCTGCAAAAAAATTATTATCCTCCGGGTGATCTACCGCGAAAGGGTGCTCCGAGGGCACCTGAACATTTTTTCTTTTTTTTTTTGGCTGGAGTCAGTTTCCCCAAAAATTTGCCGACTCCCGAAATTCCAGTTTTTCTTTTATTTTTTTTTTTTACATGTTTACGTTTCATTGGAACGAAATTGAAAAATCGCTCCATCCCCCCAAAAAAATGTGCCTTCCGAGAATGCACAGGGAGTTAAAAAAATTCCTTACTCGTGGCGAAATCGTAGTTATATGCATTTGGTCTCTTTTGCTGGCTATTCGAGATTTTCCGCTAAGAACCTCACACTCCAGGAGCAGGTGGAGTTAGGTAACTCCACACTACGAACTCCCGGACACTCCAGACGCAAACGTGATATCCCCATTGAGTTAGGACTTTTGAAACATCCATGAAAAAAACAAATTTGGAAATTTTTAAAAAATTCAGAATCCCAACCGCTACTTGTGGACAAAGAATCGGGTTTCTACAGCATCTCGAACGTGGTTAGAGTCGGCGTCAGTCATATTTGCTTGCACTGGAAGCTAACGAGGGGCGGGAAAAAAAAATATGCTAAACACTATTGCACAATACACATTCCGATGAAATCTTGGCCGTTTCCAGATAAAAATAAGAAAACTGATGAAAAATAGAAAACTGATGAAAAATGGAAAACTGATGAAAAATAAAAAACTGATGAAAAATAGAAAGTAGACTCCAATGAGAAACTCCCCGGAGGAATTCCCACTCCCCCCCTTGCGGACGATCCTAGGATTCGAACCGTGGGCGGGGAGTCACCGCCGATTCCCCCAGAGGCTGAAATCGATGAAAGCGAAGGAAGTCGCGGCGGGAAACTCACCGAAGCCATCACCAAAGCCGGAACGGTGCAATTCTTCAACCGACTCACGCTTAGAGCCTTCCTGGAGGTGTCTGTGTTCACCGGGTAAGCTTTTGGAGGTCGGGAGATTATTGGCGGTTAGGGCGCGCATGCGCACACCGCGCGCGCGCGCGATCTCCAT